GGAATCTTTCAGCTCCCAAAAGGTTGCATTTCACACAACGGCTGAGGTTGGGAGCAACAGGGGCGGGAGAATCATCTCATCTCCCCCCCTGCTCACAGCAAGGTCACCTAGAGAAGGTTGTTCAAAGTCCCGTCCAGCCAGGTTTCGAGGATCTCCAGGATGGAGGCACCACAGCCTCTCTGAACAACCTGTGCCGGTGCCTCACCACCTCACCGTAAAAAAATGTTTTTTCTTATGTTTACATGGAATTTCCCTGTGCCCCATCACTGGGCAACACTGAGCAGAGTCCGGCTCTGCCTCCTTTACTCCCCTCATCAGGCATTTATTCACATGGAGAAGATTGCCCTCAACCTTCTCGAGGCCGAGCAATCTCAGCTCTCAGCCTGCACTCTTACATCGAATGGTCCAGTCCCTTCGTCATCCTCATGGTCTTCCTGGACTTGCTCCTTGTCTCTTGGGCTGGGGAGCCCAGAGCTGGACCAAGCAGAGGGGAAGGACCACCTCCCTCACAGCTCAAGAGGCTGTTTGCATTCTTTGCCACAAGGGCACAGTGGTGGCTCACAGCACACCCAGGCCCTTTTCTGCCAAGCCGCTTTCCAGCTGGGCAGCCCCCAGCACATACTGGTGCATGGGATTGCCCCACCCCAGGAGCAGGACACGGCCTTTCCTTTTGCTGACCTTCATGAGGTCCTGTCAGCCCCTTTCTTCAGCCTGGCACCATCCCTCTGACCCCACCTGGTGTTATCAGCCACTCCCCTTCGTTGTGCATCATCAGCAAGTCACTGAGGGCATATTCTGCCCTTCCCTCGTGGAGCAGTACTGGCTGCAGTTCCACCTCCAGGGTAAACCACCAGTACCAGGCCACCAGCTGGACTCGACACTGCTGACCACCACATGGCCAGGGCAGACACTTCTCCATCCACATCATCCAAGCCGATGGGCCCCTGGCATTTCCAAGAGGCCTTTCATCCCAGCTTCCCGATCAGATGAGGGGTGCAGGCTCAGGGGAGCCTGGCCAGAAACCATTTAATTCAGGTCCAGTTCTCTACTGGGGGCAGGGGGGGGAGCAGGAAGCACTGGGAGTAGAACAGCAGACTCTGAACTACATCATCAAGAAAAAATGGGGAAATTAAGAGGATCCACACATTAGAAAGGGTAACCATGGAGGAGGAAACAAGAACCTTTTCCTTTAGCATAAAGGAGAATAGATTTGGGGAGTTTCCCAGGTTCCCCCCTGAGAAGCAATTTTGCAGTGGCTGTCTCCCATCAAGGATCACATAAATTCTTACCTTTTCTCCGAATTCCTCAATTTGACCCTTCTCACTAAATTCCCCTCAATGCTCCTTCCAAAATTAACAGGATTCTCTGGAGCCGTTGACACACATTCATGACTGAGGACAAGCAGTTGCATTACCTGAAGACAGCACGGCTCTATTCCTAATGTCCTACAGTAGCACATGGAGGATGCCCAAGAACATCCATTCGGTAGCCGCACTTTCATTGCCATTTGCAAACCTGGCAACCCGCTATCTAGCTCTGCAAACAGCAAGTTCAGAAAAATATTTGTCGAAACCATGAAACAGTTTAAGTCCCCAAAGTTCCTTCATTACCTTCTCTTTCTCTTTGCACAGTCCTAAAAGGAAAGAAGCTAAGTCTTCCCATGCCTGTTTGAAGACCTTTCCATAAAGCGAGTTCCGAAGATGAAGCTCTTCAGATCACAGTTTTCCTTTCCTGGCCCTTTTTTGACTAACGGATGGCTCAGCTGAGTTTCGCTCCAGTACCAGGAAGACAGTGAGGCCTGGAAAGCTGCTGCGCTTTTCATCTGTATGAGATTTCCCCTCTTTTTTATTTTTTTATTTCTTCTTACTTGAATTTGGTGCTAGTGAGTAGTGCTGGCCAATAATGAAGCAGTGCAAATTATTCTCTCCCAGCTCTTCCCAGCATCTACCTCCAAAACGTGCCTCCACCGTGACCCTGAAGCAGCACAAGGAGTAGAAGGGAAACTGTCATGACCTTTAGTCCTTCACTCCTTTAATGAGCCCCTATGGCAAAGGCAACATGGTACTAACGAAGTCTGAAAAGATATACAAAGGCCGCTGACCCATTTCGCACAGGGCCACATCCAACACAGCAGACACTACAAACTATTACTTTAACCCTGGATGAACTAAAATCCTCCCTGAAAGTTAAGTTTGCCTGACCCCCATTCTATTCGAGTCCTGTTAACATTTGGGAAAAATACATCCCCTTCAAATGACATGAACCTTCCAACTCCGCAGGTATTCAAACATCGTCCCCACTTGCTGTGACAGCAGTTCCCCATACTCTACAACGGGGATAATTTCAATTAAAATTCAGTGGGTTGCCAACAGGTGTTTCCAACTCCTTGAATTTGACTTTTTTTTTTTTTTTAAGAACTGGGAAGAACGGGGTCAAAGACAGTTTTACACTCCAAAAATAAAGACAAAGTTCACAATTTATTGACAACAGTGTTTTTATTTATACCTACAAAAGAAAACAAGATGGTATCAAAAGGACAATTTACAAACTAAGAATAATAACATAGCTTTTAGTATCCTGTGTCTGAACACCACAGATCTATCAATCTTGCAATTCAAGTCTTCATTAATACAACAGGAATGTGTTCAGAGACCAGCAGGTGTGTGTGAAACAAGATGCTGATCCCACACAAAGCCACTAACCCTTCCATTGTTCAGAGAAGTCCAAACAGCAAATTGCTTCAGGAAGTGGGAGGGGAGGAGACACCCAACTTATGTGACACCTCCCACAAACTTTTACAGATTGAAAACAATGCGAACAATACTAGATGCTAATGCTTTTATCAACAAGGGCCCTCCAGCTGGTATATGGAACAGAGCGCAGCGAGCACCAGGTGGGACAGGGGCAGCACATGCCACGGTGCATTTAGGCATTCAACGATCTGGTTAACACTCCGAACTGAACCGAGACCCTGGACTTCAGCTGACCTCAATGGCAATAAAGCACTGCGAGAACTTGGCATAGATGTTTACACGTGCACAAGTCCTCCCCGAAAATAGTAAAAGCTATAGCAGACTATAAGGCAGCTTTGGCGGTCCAGAGACCCTTTTTTAAGTCAGTCAGTGAGATGTTCTACTCCTACACCCCTCAAACACATTTCTGCATCGAACTTCCAAATTAAAAAGAAAGAAAAAAAAACCCAAACAAAACCAAAACACAACCCAAAACTCTACATTTGCTTGCGAGGGAGGCCAAAGACAAATCAGTCAGTGCCTGGATAAACGAAATGTTTCTGGCTTTCACTTAACACAAGCAAAGGAACTTCCTGCCCAAGCACTGGAATTAGAAGATGGGATGAGGGAACCAAAGTTCTGGAAGATCTCTCCTTTTTCCCTCCATGTCAGCAACCTACCTGTGTACTGCACAAAAAAAATGCGCATTCATCCCCCAAAATTTTACTCTGGGAAGAAATTAAATTAAAAAACAAATCACTTTTGTATAAGCAAGCTCTTTTCCTGGGCTATAAGAAGTTCCACTCTGCTACAGGAGTGGGCTGCCTTGATCATCCATATGCAAAAATGCCAACAGAAAAAATAAAAAGGAAAAAAACCAAAACAAAACCCTGCACTCTCATAATGCAAAGATTATGCCTCACAAACCAGGAGATGTATCCATTCTTTTGTCATATTATCAGATCAAGAGCAGCCAACTCCTGTTACCATCTACTGTCTCTGAACCGTCTGATATTAGAAATAACAAGTCAACAACATGCTTTACTAAAGAGGAAACCCCCTCACACCCACCTTAGCCTGTAAAATAAACAAGTTTTATTTACGTATTTACTAAAATTTCACTCTTCTCTAACATTTTCTAAAATGCTACCTACCTGCGAGAGCTCAGCTCAAAGGGACCAATGGAGCAGGGAAATGCACTCAAAAGCCAGGAAAAGCAATAGTCAGAGCAAGGTACAAAAGAAATAAAGCTTCAGAATCAAGATGCACTAACCAGCTCACCGCTTACCTCATGAAAAGGAGATTCCAGGCAATCTCCTCCTCCGCCTTTCCTCCCCGTGCCCTCCCCCCAGCCCACCCTATTCAAGCCTCTTAAGTGTGGAAAACTCCGTCACATTTTAGTCAGTGTAGCGGTATTCAGAATGTTCCCCCCGTGGCAAAAGGTAGTTTGTTCGTGAAGGACAGACAAAGGAGATACACTGTTCATCATCTCAGTTCTGTTTAGTTTCTGGGCTCTCAAATAAGACTTCTCTCAATAAACCAAACAATAGGAATTTGAGAGCAGAAACTAATTTAAGGACGCTCCACGCTTTTGCGATGCTGTGATTTAACAATTGTAGGGAA